CAAGATTGAGTGCTGCTATTTCATTGATTTTTTTGGCAAGTTCAGGCACCATAAAACCACTTTCTTCAGGATTCCCGTCTTCGGTTTCGAAGATAACCTCGCCCGCTGCTAATTCCAAGCTTAATTCGTACGGCTCAAACATGTCTTGAACCTTAGCTACGCGCTCGGCAAACGAGACATCCTTGCTTAAGTTGCTAAACTTTGCTCTTCTTTCATAGATTTTCATATCGTTTTCGGCAATGAGAAAGCATTTCTTTTTTTTAACTGTGACTTTGAAAATCCTAGGAAGCAGTACTGTGAACCGTTGTACTCGACATTCCTAAGTAATATTTCACCAACTTTGTTCTTACAATAAGACGAAAACTCAAGAATCAAGAGCTTCTTCCATACAGTTTTCTTTCCATCTTTTCCTTGCCGCCTATTTCCTTCGGAGAGAAGCTGATCAATCATTAAACAGTTCTTCAATTGTTCCGCTTCTTGTTGGAATAGCCGACATTCCTGGTCACCTTCCCCAGGCTCAATGATAACGTGAATTACGTAAAGTTTCTCATCTGACGGACACACCGCTGGTTCAGTACATGGAATACGGAGAGGCCTTGCCATATCACGGCTTATTTCAGGGATCACCCGATTGAGGAAAGTCAAACCTCAGCCAAACTTGAAAGCAAAAATTAATGCCCTCCTTGCCTTTTAAAAGACTACCTATTCGTGGTTTGTTTCAATTTTTCCAGAGATATTTCGCTGATATTTGATCAGACTGAGTGAGTTTATTATCAACCAAACTGAACTGTACAATGACAGTGAAGTAATTAGTTACTTTGTAATTGTGACGTAACATAAGTGACTGACGGGCGTATAGATGGCCATGACAAATTTAGCGTAGCATCACGGAATGATCAAGCAGTCGATGAATCACAGCCCAAAGGATTTAGAAGTGACATCAAGGAAGTTTGAGTCATTCAGTCACAGTTTACTGATGTCAAATCAACTTTGCGACGAATGAAATGACAAATTCCGCGTAAGGTAAAACGATCAAGTATGGTTTTAAGATTGGAAAACACTGACATGGATTACAAGAGACAAGTTTGGAGAACTAGGGTCAAGATTTAAGAAGACTGAAAGCTGTGGGAGAAACTGAAAACTTATTCAGCCAACCATAAACACTTGTTAGAGATAAGTGTTTCATTGAGTTTTTTCTGACCGTGATTACACAACCGAAATGAACAAAACCGAAATCGAAAGGTCACGAAGCTTTTTCTAGGTATGACGAAAATCGTTAACACTGCCACGTGATAATCAGATTCCAAAGAATGTTCTGGAACTGACTCGTATAAGGAAATGAACGATAAAATTTAAACGACGAAGGTGTTTATGTTATTTATTACACCCATTTTGAAATCACTGGTGGTCCCTGTAATTTGATTGGCTCTAATTGGTGCGATTTATTCACGAATCGCACCATTTTTTGCTTTAAATCGCATCATTTTCCCAGGCAATGAGGAGGCTACACTGAAAAAAAACAACCAATCAGATTTCAAGGCTTGCTTAAAGTAATCCATGTAATTGCAGGAAAATGAAAGACAAAGAGTATCATGTGACAAATTTTGCAACCTTTGTTTCCAAAACTCTTGTTTTTTTCTCCCCAAAAATTGGATGAATTTAATTTCAAACTAGCTCAGTACTGCATCAATAAAATATTTGAACTGACCACTACTTGGGCGATTTCAAAATGGATGTAATAAAGTGGTAATTGAACAGAGTGGAGTGCAATTTTGGTCTGAAATCATACCTGTGATTTCAAATCACATGTATGAGTGCAGCCCAAATTGCACTCCACTCAGTTCAATTACCATTATAAATTAGTCTAGCTAATCAATGTACACGAATTCTATTCCGCCAAGATTTAAGTAGAGAGCGCCTTCAAAATTGCACACAGATTTTCCCTACTTTTGTTTCTCTGATCACACTTCAAAAGTGAAAATTATAGATCTATCATCAGATTTGGCATGGCAAGGGAATTATTTCCATTCTTCTCTGCCTTTGGTCGCAGTAATAATGTTACGTTCGTCGAGTGGCAAGATTTCTTCCATAACTTTTGGCGCATCAAATAAACCATCGGTATGGAAGGAAGATGGAGGAGTATTAAAGCTGACATCGACAGGCTTTGCATACAACTTACCAAAGCTGTTCATAAAGCTATTCAATATTGACCGAGCAGTGAGTCTATACGTCAATGATGTCGTTTGACATCTTAATACTTCTACTTGCGTACTCGTGTCCTTGTCACATATTTTCTAAATTTCCTTTGTTGGTAGAATGCAACGAACAAGACCGACGCAGCGAACCAATTCCTCCCAACTTTCTATAAAGTATATAAATAGAAACCCAAATTCGGGGGAGTCCCCAGACTACATTTAGAAATTACTATTATCTATGGCCAAGTGTCCAGTTTATGACTCCTCTGTCAGAGTCTTGTCAATACGACAGCATGTTCAGGATTTATGGCAAAAGCTCGTTACCATCGACTGAAGCTTCGTAGCTGGAGAGAATGCAACAAAAGTTCCCAAATTTAGCACTCTTTTACATTTGTTTCTAGTTATCATTGCAACGAGACATTTCTTGCCTACATTTCAGTTTGAAACAAATATGTACCTTAGATGAATCCATGTTTCGCTTCATACAAGAAAGTTGAAAATTCCCTTTTAGTGCACTGGTTAGTGAGCACACGAGGTCTTGAAGTTCTCGAGCAGCCGATGGTGGTCACATTTTCTTCAAACGACAAAAACTTCATAATCGAGACTCTTAAGAAAGGAATTTAGTGCAACGATTCACAGTATTATTACTTAGGACAATAGAGCTCCCAGCTTAGACACAGCACTTGCTACGTGATGAATGCTTCGCTGACTGACTTGCACGGTTTGTTGGAAAAATTCGAAAACTTCAATGACATCTTCCCGGTGGCAAAACGATCTCAAAAGATAGCCCTCCCCTTCTCACCTTTCCAGCGTAGTTTGGAACTAAAACCAGGGCGTCATCGATGACGTAACAAGCATATTGGGTACATATGTGTTCACGGATGGGTGTGGTCTTATGTCGTGTACACTCTCTCAGGATGTGAAGACCCTATGCAACCTTCCATGTGCGCCTAGCGTAGTTGAAGTTAAATTCAAAGGTTTTAGAGGGACTCTGGTTCGTTTCAACGATATGCAAACCTCAAGGTAAAAGCGCTCTTTAGAAATTCCATGTCGGACATTTCCTCCCGTCAAAACGTTATGAGAAGTTGGAAAACGCTTGGTATCGTGATGTTTCTCGCAGCCGTACTCACTGGGCTATTTGGACACACTGACGGTGATGCTGTTTACCGAAGGCAGTGTCTCTCATGAATATCTGGAGACACTTCAGGGAAATCATGAATTGCTCGAGAGGTTGGAAGACAAGACATACGCCAGTTACTTCTTGCGTATAACGGGAAAAGACGAGTTGTTACAAACCATTGAGAAAGAAGGACTGTCGCACAGTGTTGTGCGTGAGTTGCAAAACCTGACGATAAAACAAATTGAAAACATGAAACACTGTAAAATAGTCAGCGAAAATGAAGAGCAAGGCAATAATGATCTGTTAGAAGAGAAAAACCGCAAAGTAGATCGGTGGACCTCTGTGTGATATCACAACGACAGACACTTTGTTAGATGTTCCCAGCACAAGAAGTGATGAAGTCAAAGATTTTAGAGTTTTGATCCCAGACTCTCGCGTTGTCTATGGGGTGAGTGATCCGTACGGTCAGCTGAAGCATGGTAAATGTTTCTTCCAACCGACGCTCCACGAGGCGGAGAAAAATGGCTTCTCGTTTGCTGAGTTTGTTCTGGTAATGCGAATGCCTTCTTACCATGTGGAAGATGTTCGTGTGTTGAAGATTACTCATGGAAAGGAAGCTTGTATTGATTGTATCGTGTTTCCTACAAGGGGGCGCGACCACATGCTAATGAATGCGCTGGGGGACGCGACCACATGCTAATGAATGCGCTGGGGGACGGGTGAGTGGTGACAAGTACTTCGTGTGCTGGGACCAGGGGCTAATACCGCTCTTTGTTAGCAGTCCTTACACGGGGTACATAACCAGTACATCCTCTAAAATAGCCCGAAAATTGCCAGAAGTCGCCAACGGCCATGAGTGTGTGAAGAGGAAGCCCGTTAGTGAAACGGAAGCGAAGAAAAAGCAGCACAAAGCACACCAAGCGCTCGTGAAACATTTTAGTCATTTTAGAGAATACGAGAACTTGCGCCAAAAAGCTTCAGAGCTATTTGTAAAGTATGCGTCGTTACTCGGTTCGACGTGTACCGAATGCGAATTGCTCAAGGAGACTCTTCTCAGAGACTTTGGCTGGAGCGAGCGTTACGATCAAGTCAGAAACATCTGAGGCAGCTTGAAAAAGCGTACGAGATAGAGATGCAGGGACTCACCAACCGTTCGCGTTTAACCCCCCTCCCTTCTTTATTGGACAAAATAAAGACCAGTTTAATCCACTGGCGAGATTCTCTGTGCTGAGAGATTCCTTTGTAGCGGGAAATTTGAGCATTGTGTTATTTTGGTGGATTTAGTTGACTTTCCATGAACTATCTGCAAAAAAAAGGCCCTCTTCACCGAAAAGAGAATAAGGCGCAAAAAATTTGCTATCTTCAGTCTTATAAACAAATTCCTCTCTCAAAAAACTCGGTATGGAAGGGAAGTATATAAGGGTAGGCTTTTTGTTTGATTTTGTTGTTGTTTCTCTTTGCTTTTAGGCAATAAAGTATGGTAGTTACTTAACTCATTTCAAACATTTCACTGAAATGACTCTGATGCAGAAAGCGTTTGAGCTTTAAAATTTAAGATCACGTTTCCTTCATTCCCAATTTTCTACTTCTTGGACATAAAAAACAACTACAACAATAACAAAAAGACGCAAAGAGATCGAAAATCAAAAAAGATATCCCCCGCAAAAAGACACTTACTCGCAAAATAAAGCTATCGCAAAATTTTATTTCTACATACTATGAAAGCTGATATGGTGACTTCATTCAAGCCTTTGCAATAACGCTATGTAGAAAAGGAAAATGTAAAGCACGGGAAAAATACGAAGTAACTTCACAAACTTTTCAATGCGTAATCTTGACTTAAGGGTTGTTTGGGGACAATTTTGACAGGAAATAGAATGATACTCGTCAGCCTTCGAAAATGGGCGAAATGCATACTCCAAAAAGCTTGTGTCAGAATTTTTTCTATAGAGGCCTAATTTTTACACACTTAATTACAATCGTAACGTCTGTAATCTTGAATTGAAAGTGTCAATTGCACACTTTAGAAGAGGAGATTGATGCTCGCTGGGTAAGTACTACTACTTCTTTGATATTGATGGTGAGTTTAACTGGCTGATACAAGCGGCGGCCTCAACAGAATGTAGATTATTTTCAGATATTCCTAAAAAAATGTCCTCCAGCCTCAGATTATTTTTTTTATAAAGGACCTGCTGTGCACTTACTGATTGGGGAATTTGATGGCCAAAAACATGCTATATTCGTAGACCATTTGCAGGCCTCTAAAATAAATTGACTTTCGTCGAGGGTTAGAAAGCAGAGCAAGATGGTTTTTGCAGCGTCTTCCTGAACGACTATTACAAGAGCAGCAGCGTACGCAGGCATGTAGCACTTTTATAATATTCGAAAACTTCTTATGAGGTTTGTCACAACATTTCATCAATAAAATCGGAATCTTACTTGAGTGTTTGAGAAGAAACACCGTTTTAACGCTGCCCTCCGGTTGTGACCGTAATAAAATCGTTCAGATTTTTAATCATGGCTGTACGTAGTCCTTTCAGATCTTCCTCTGCAGATTCTTTGCTTTTCTCCATCTGGGAATGCGGGTTCTCGCATTTGTTTTCGAGATCTTCCAAATGTCTGTCGATCTTCTCTCTATTAGCATTCCAGTCAAAACTCGGAGATAAATACTTTCCGAGTTGCTTACAAACTGAACATGACGTCGATCCTTCGAGAAGTGCAAACTTTTTGAAAAGTGACTTTGCTCTTGAAATCAAGTCATCGCTGCTTTTAAATTCAGCGAAATGCTTCTTCAGCTCCTTCTGAAACGATGCATCTTCTGGCGGTTCAAGAACAGTCATGGGCGGCGTTTTTCCTTCACTTGTTTCAGCTTCGGCGCTGACCATAACTTCTGTGTCTTCAGAACGACCACTCAACAAGAAAGATTTCACATTCGAACATTGAAAGACGCCAAGGAAAAACTTTGAAACTTGACTCGGAATCTCGGAAAAATTCCAGGCGGATGAATGGAATCGTTGCACTAGGCGATAATCCCAGCAAACAATGTATTTCCTGGAGATAAATCGCTTTTCGGTTTGCGACGGCAAAATAATGCAGTCTTTCAATTTCTCGTTGGCTCCAATTCGGCGACAAAGATTGAACCTTTGGATATCTGACGCAGAGTAGCACGGTTGCGGAATAACAAGAACCTGTTTTGCCGATTCAAAACGTTCTTTTTCATAGGACAGCAAGCAATCCAAGTTAGGAGCAAAGAAGCACTCATCGCATTGAAGCTGATTATCTGGATCGACAACTCCCAAAACTTCGCGCGACTCACTCACGAGGATTTTCATCTCTTCCGGGCTATCTTTGCACTCTTGCATTTTTCTAATTTCCTCCTCCTTTATTTCGGAAATCTTTCCCCGTGCTTCAAGCGTCATTCCGTTGTCTATTTGGGCTAAAAGTTCCTTTCTTCCTTTCACACGAAGGAAGTACTTCGCAGAGGTCAAATCGGTTTCCAGTGTTTTTAGAAGGTTATGATGTTCTCTTTGAAGTTCCAGTAGATATTGACTTTCTACACCTTGGCAATGCAGAAGCATCACAGTGAAAATATCCAGGTAGCCAACCTCAAATGGTTTGGAATAGTCAACAATACAAAGTGTGAGTGCGTTGCCGTGATCCTTGGTTGTTGCAGAAGTTTTGAAAAGGGCCTTTAAGTGGGGATGTTCGTCACCCGTCGTTCTGGCAAGAATTTCGTCAGACAATAGAAGTTTACCTGCAAATCCTGGACAAATAACTTCAACAACGCTGGGATCATTACTTAGATTGAGTGTCGCTATTTCATTGATTTTTTTGGCAAGTTCAGGCGCCATAAAACTACTTTCTTCAGGATTCTCATCTTTGGTTTCGAATTTAAACTCGCCCTCGGCTAATTCCAAGCTTAGTTCGTATGGTTCAAACATGTCTTGAACCTTAGCTACGCGTTCAGCAAACAAGATATCCTTGCTTAAGTTGCCAAACTTTGCTCTTCTTTCACGGATTTGCATGTCGTTTTCGGCGATTAGAAAGCATTTCTTTTCTTTTAACTGTGACTTTGAAAATCCTAGAAAGCAATACTTTGAGCCGTTGTATTCGACATCCCTGGCTAATATTTTACTAATTTTGTCCCTAGGATAAGACGAAAACTCGAGCATCAAGAGCTTCTTCCATACAGTTTTCTCTAAATCTGTTCCTTGCCTATTTCCTTCGGAGAGAAGCTGATCAATCATTAAACATTTCTTCAATTGTTCCGCTTTTTGTTTGAGTAGCAGACATTCCTGGTCACCTTCCTCAGGCTTAATGATGACGTGAATCACGTAAGGTTTCCCATCAGACGGAAACACCGGCAATGGTTCAGTACATGGAATACGGAGAGGCCTTGCCATATCACAGCTTAATTCAGGGATCACCTGGTGGAGGAAAGTCAAACCTTAGCCAAAATTTAAAGAAAAAGTGAAAATGCCTTTCCTGCCTCTTACAAAACTACTTATTCATGGTTTGTGTGAATTTAGCTTAGCATTTTGATCACCGACGGAATGATCGAGCAGTCGATGAATCGCAGCCCAAAGGATTCACGAGTGACAAAGAAGTTTTCAGTCATTCAGTCACGGTTTGCTGATGTCAAAATCAACTTTGCAACAAATGAAACCAAAAAGTCCGCGTAAATTAAAACAGTCCAGTGTGGTTTTAAGATTGGAAAACACTGACATGCACTACAAGAGACAAGTTTGGAGAACTAGGGTCAAAATTCAAGAAGAAAAGCTGTGACAGAAAACAAAAAACTCATTCAACATAAACACTTGTAAAATATTTCTGTTTCAAAGAGAGTTTTTCTGACAGCGATTACACAATGCAGCCTTGCTCTCTCTAAGTCATGGCGCTAGCTAGAAAAAAAAAATTAAGATCTCTCGCTGAAGAACCTTGTTCCCTAATCCAAACAAAACCGAAATCGAAAGGTCACGAAGCTTTTTCCGGGTATGACGAAAATCGTAAACACTGTTACGTGATGATCAGATTCCAAAGAATGTTCTAGAACTGCCTCGTTTAACGAAATGAACGATAAAATTTAAACGACAAAGGTGTTCATGTTATCAATCAGTTGGTCGAGCTAGTCAATATACGCGAATTCGATTCCGCTAACATTTAAGTAGAGAGCGCGCAGATTTTCCATACTTTTGTTTCTCTAATTACTCTTCAAAAGTGAAAATTATAGATCTATCATCAGATTTGGCATGGCAAGGAAATTACTTCCTTTCTTTTCTGCCTTTGGTCGCAGTAACAATGTTACGTTCGTCGAGTAGCAAGATTTCTTCCATAACTTTTGGTGCATTAGATAAACCATTGGTGGAGGGAAGATGGAGGAGTATTAAAGCTAACATCGACAGGCTTTGCATACAACTTACCAAAGCCGTTCATAAAGCTATTCAATATTGACCGAGCAGTGAGTCGATACGTCAATGATGTTGTTTGACATCTTAATACTTCTACTTACGTTCTCGTGTCCTTGTCACATATCTTCCAAATTTCCTTTGTTGGTAGAATGCAACGAACGAGACCGACGCAGCGAACCAATTCCGCTCAGCTTTATATAAAGTATATAAATAGAGACCCAAGTTCGGGGGAGTCCCCAAACTACATTTGGAAATTACTCGAACATACTTTTCTTATCTATGGCCAAAGGCCCAGTTTATGACCCCTCTGTCAGTGTCTTGTCAATACGATAGCATGTTCAGGATTTATGGCAAAAGCTCGCTAACATCGATTGAAGCTTCGTAGCTGGGGGGAATGCAACAAAAGTTCCCAAATTCCTTGAAAACTAAGGTAAATTTCTGCGAAAAAGAGCTAGTTGACCTGACATATTTCATGATATAGTTGCATGACAACGTAAACAAAAGGCAGCCGGCTTTGTCGATATTGACAAAAATATCCGTGCGGTGAAAAGCTTCAAAAGAAATGTCAGTTGAGTGGGAGGAGCATGTCACTGAGATGACACAATGATTGACTCAAAGTCTAACATTACTTTCTCAGAAATGTCTTAATCTGATCGCGGTATTTCCTAGAAACTCAACTTTTAAATTAACATCAGTGATCAGATGGTGATGCGTACTCACATAAAAAGTTCTGGCACTTTAATAAAGCAGGAAATAAAAACAAAAGGCGCATTAAAAAAAAGTTCCGCAACTACAGGCAACTACATAAAAACAACGAAACATTTCTGCAAACAAAGCTCTGCAATTTAACAAACACATCGTCATATGCAAATATAGCTCATAAGAGGAACCAGAGCCAAAGGTTATAAACCAGGCCGTGATGCTTTTAGCAGCAGAATTATAGCCAAGATTATTACAGCTGAGATTACAAGATAGAGAAGTAAGAAGTTTGCATGTTTTACAAATCCACAGGCAACTGAGCAGGAAATCAAAATTTGTGATTGGGCATATTTTCCGCGGAAAATATTTTGAGTCGGTCAATCTAGCAAATAAACAGCTCTGCTTTTCTTATCAGCGCAGGCACAGCAACAGCATACTGTTGCACTTAAGGGGGCCGTCAGATTTTTGCGAATGGTTGGTCATTCAACCACTTTTTGGTTTTCGCTTTAAATCGATAGTTTAACCTATCTACTTTGAGGTTTTGAAGTCTTTTTCAATTAATTTTACCGGTAAAAGCTGAAAAAACGCAATTTCCGTAACTGTGTCTATCAATGTTGATCGGCTGCCATGGAAACAGAATTCAAAATCGACCCTATTCTAAGAGATTTCTCGAACCAACGCTCTCAGAGTTCCGTTTCCAGGGGTCCCTATCCGATTCCTGCATTTAAACTAACTTTCTAAGGCCAGGTTGCCCAGTTAACGAAACATGCTAATCATAGTGCTAGCTTTGTACTTTCTGCCTCAATTGGAAAGGTTCTCGACTACGAGTGTCTTTCAAAGATTTGCAATATGTGCACCCAGAAGAAGGCCACTATGTCCGAGGAAGAATTCGAGGCATGGCAAGATCAGCATGCTTGTAATGGCAATTTTGGTGGTTCTAGCCCAAGTATGGAATTAGAGGATGCCAAAAGGATTTGGGGAAGACATTAAGATTACAAGCAACGTTATAAGTTCATGATTTGTGATGGAGACTCTAAATCCTATGGTGCTGTTAGGAATTACTATGGTGTTTGTGACTTGTGTTACAAAAATGAAGAACTGCACAAATCCCCCAAAAAATATGAACAATGACAAAAAACAGAAGAGTACAAAGAATGGGACAACAGCATCTTACAGGGACAGCAGATTGTAATCGTGTTATAAAACTTGACTGCATTGGTCATGTGTAGAAAAGGTTGGGCAAAGCTCTCTATGAATTCCAAAGGTCTGCCTCCAAACTTGAAGATGGAAAGCCAGTTAAGGGGAGGCAGGGAAGGCTAACTAAAACAACAATCGAAAAGCTGAAGAAGTACTATGGTAAAGCCATACGTAACAATGTGACAAGGGATATGGCAAGTGCTAAAGAAAGGGACATTGCGGTCAAAAATATGGAAATAGAAATTAAAGCTGGTCTCTTTCACTGCACCAAACTCCCAGATAGAGAGACACAAATACTGTCCCGTAAATTCATGGTGTAAGTTCAAGAAGGGATTAAAAGATGTTGACGAGCCCCATCACCTTGATGCCATTTTTGTGAAACATCTAGAACCTATTACAGTAGGCTCAGTGAACCAGCTCCTCTGACCAGATGTCTTCCTGGATGTACACAGAATGCAAATGAGTCAATAATGCTCTGGTTTGGGACATTTGTCCAAAACACAAATGGTATGGGAGGAAAAGAATTACAATTGCATCTGCATCAGCAGCACTACATTTTAGCAGTGGTACAAGGACCAAACACGATTTTATGGCCAAGGCTGGCATTGGTATTGGAACCTTTACAAAAAAAGGAAGTAAAAAGAGAGATTGAGAGAGAGTGTCACAAACAGAGGAAAGAATTCAGGGACAACACAAAAAGTACAGACTTGCCAAGAGCCAAGCAAGGAAAAGGGATGAGAACATGAGACTTAACAAAGAAGGCACAACATATGAGGCTGGAGCCTTTAATTTTTAGCTCCCAGGAATAGTTAATTTTCACTTTTCATTTCAAAATTGTTGAAGAGTGATATTTTGGAGCTTAATGATGCTATAAGCACCTTCAAGTGACATGGCATTGGTTAAAGGAGGTATTTTTTCCTTGTGTCAACTTTAACAGCAGTTTTCTCAAAACTGCCCTTTCATGATAGTTGCCATCTACCCCCACCTTTTTTTACTTCAATTTATGACCAATTGTTGTGAAAATTGGCACAGGCTATCCTTTTGATGTACACTGTGATCCTATGGAGCAAAATTGGATTAAGTTAAACATTAAGGAGATATTAGATCAACATCCTAATAAGGAAGTGTTTGGTTGCCATGGTAGCACCAAAGACCCTATCTGGAATCTGCTTCATAGGATCATGGTTTAATCCACGGTAGTTATGCCTAAGAAGTTATAACCTTTTCCATTAATTCTGTAGGAAAAAAAGTATGGGGGGCAGACAGCAACTCCCATTTTATGATATGAAATTCAGAAGTTAATAATTTAATAACCATTTCATCTTGATTTTGACTTCCTGAATAGGTCTTTCTGAACTGATCAAAATTTCATAGTTTTCTATAATATTGTTAAAGAGTTTTGTTCCTTTTAAGATGCTTACTACATTTGTCTAAAATTTGATACTGTTAGGAGAAATTCTGTCTTGGTCATTCATGGGAGTTCATTCATAACCCACATAAGGGATTAGTCATTATTCATGGCCGGGAGAGGGGGGGGGGGAAGGGGGGTAAGGATAGGAGGAGAGGGGGGGTTAGATGATCTTGGGGGATCATATGGTTTTCAGGAGAATTTGGGGAATGGATGGGAGATCAGTCGTCACCAACAAAGGCTAAAGGAAGACTTCAGAAATTTAACTGCAAATTACAAAGAGGGGGGATCATTAGAATATTCATTGCTCCAACCCCTTTCCTATCCTTCTTTTTGACCATTGTTCACCCCCTTGATAAATTGTAAATTCAGAGATGGCAACCACAATTTTCACTAAGATAATATAGAGCACTCGCTCGCCAAAATTACACCGCACCTCAGGCTACCTTATAGAGGGAAAAAGGTAAATCTGGTTGCGACACAACAAAAATCCTACGGCGATATATAATGACAAGAGATGAGAAACTGATAGAACTTATCCCCGTGACCCATGGTAATTTCTATTTTAAATTTCCTGCTACGCCGGGAAGTTATCCATATTCATACCTCGCATGATAACGCTGCGAACGATCTCGATATCATCTGTCTTTGCAGATTTCGGTGATCACGTTTTAAATTAGTTTTTAAAAGCTGTTACCACTCACTATCGAAACAAATTTATAAGTGTTTGCCTCACCATTCGAACACTTAATGCTATAATAGTTTACATTCGCTTGATAATGACTAGTCCCTAACTTCAACCGTTACATACAACTACATTTACCACTCTTTTACATTTGTCTATAATGTACATTGCAAGGAGACATTTAGTACCTTACATGGGGACTTACAAAGCACTGCTACTCGTGGGCTTACTATATTTAACATTTAAAATGAGCCACTTTTGTTACCTTCATTACATAATTTGAAATAACACAGTATTCACGTTACTCTACATAGCAGAGCAAAAAGCAGAGCCAAAAAGTTTTTTAAAAATAGGCTTTGCTGCAGTTAGTCTCGTTTTGACATTTTTGGAAGCGGAACAAAAAAACTTATTCATCTATTGTTTTGTTAGCTCTTCATCTCTTCTGTTTATATCATTTTCACCCATCACAATGCATTTTGTAACAATTGTTACGCAACATTTAAACAACTTTTAGTTTCGACAAAAACACAACCAACTCAAGGATTCTCGTTTACGAACTTCTGGCAGTCAAAGTTGAGTACAGACTTGTTACGAGTTCTCTTTAGGACGAATGACTATTTCATCAGACTTGAAACACATTGAAAGATTTTTCTTGATGTAAGCTCTTTAAAATGGGTCAATAACTCTTTAAGCTGAGTTATCCTTGTCACCTAATCGTCTCAAGTTCAAAAAGAGAAAACTTATGCACTGAACTCATAGCCAGTGAGTGCAACAACCCAAATCAAAACGAATGTATAGTTTCATTAAGACAAATCAGTCACAGCACTGAGACTGGAAAGTGTCTGCATTGATCGCAGACTAAAGTAGTTCTTGTGCTAAATGCGGCTATTTTCGTAAAATTCTTCGACGAACTTTTCTGATTCCCTGTCAAATTCTTTCCAAACTTGGGGCGACGCTGGCTTCCCTTGGTAACCAGGCAAGGAACGACGTATTCGGGCGGTGATTGAAACGGCAGAGTCTTCGTGCACATCATCGACGTCTTCTCCTCCTCCTCCTAAAAGAGGTGATCGCTCCGCTGAATGATAATTAACAGAAGCAGAGGGTCTTGGTTGTAGCAAGGTTTCCAACCTTTCCAGCTCTTTCGACAAATCATCACTGTTTGCCATCAAGTTTGCAGCCTGATGGTTCATCTTGCTAAG